TGAATCTGAAAATACTTTTTGGGCATATTTGGTTGACAATTGCTATTGTGTTTTTAAAAACAAGCCACAAGGATGTGATATTCTTCTGATACTAGGGAATCTTGGTATGCATGTACTCAGTTAACATGTGACAATAAGGGTTAGAGCACGTCTTTACCATCCCATGCTTGTCGTAAGAGGCAACTAACAGGATCGGGTGGTCATTGTATGCATGTCATCGTATCCCAATTGTGTAGATCATGATGTCAGTCACTGGATTGTCCGGTCCTGACTTGATTATTTACAGACAGCCATTATATAGCTGGAACAGTGTTGAGTGCAGCATTAAAAAATAAAGAAACAAACAGTTATTTTACCTTTATGTTTAGAGTCTTTTTTTTAATTCATTAATTTCTTCAAATTCAGTAGGTATATACAGCATAGCTAAGCCAGCAACAAGTTCCCAGTATCTCCACAATGTCCCACTTTCACGAAACACTTCACATATACAAACATGTACAAGATTCAATATCTTACGGTCCCTTGCAGTGTCATACCAAAAGACATTAAGAGATTGTACTTGTTACCCTGCCTGGCGCTCTGCATTAAGGTGATAAAACAAGGACTGGTCGGTTTGGAGTCAGTATACTGTGTGTGAGTGGGGCATCAATGTTAAACTGCAGCATGGTATGTGAGTGAGCACTATAAAACCGACATTAATACTATTACACAACAGACACGCACGCACATATCACTATACAAAGTGAAGTAGCCTTGAACGCGCTGTTAAGCCCGATTTTACCTCACAATATCTTATTTATAAATATCTTTAACATAAATAGTCTTGACAGTTTTTACCTACAATTCACATATTTTTATGGTTGATGTGTAGATAAATATTTTTCTTGCAGATGTAATAATTATTATATTCAACAATTTCAATTTTTACTCAGATGAGACCAATATATTAATTTGTTTTATGAATCTGTCAGGCAGTTTGTGGCCTTTTTTCCCCACTAAACAGAACTACCCTGGATTTCATATGAACACTAAAGTAGGTAGATTGTGATTACTGTTTTCTGCACAGGCTAACAATTTTTCAATTGTTCAAAATTCTGTAAAACATGTACTATATTTGTTCTGGCCTTACAGGTAAAAAGTAACCTTTGCCAAATGTGCATGCTAGGCTTTGGTCGAAGTTTATCCTATTAGAATGAAATTAACAATTCTGTCAGTGCAATTTTTGGAAGATTAGACAAATAAATGAAATTCTGCCTTTCACAAAAAAAATAATTCTCTTCAACCTTTTCCATAAAGCCATTACACAACTGTAATTTCTCACCATAATTGAGTCAAATTTAGACATTAAGAAACTAACTCCTACTTGAGATGACATGCCTGCCTGCAGTTATTGTTTTTTCTGGGCCAGTGGTTAGTCTTTCACATTGCGCAGCGGTTACAGTGATAATCATTAGCTCAGGAAGTGATACATATTTTCTCCAATACATTGTGATCCAAGACCCTGAGCCTATTAAGGATTGCTGTATCCTGATTAAGGCACTCCTTCAGTTTCTTTCATTTCCCCTAACCACCAGCATAAGTATGAATCTCCCCAGATTAATTGTCTATTTTTACCCCAGCGCTAAGAGCAGTCATTTTCCTCGGCAGATAAAATGTCAAATGATGAAGCTCTGATATTAACTAGTGTTTCTCTTCCATCTTGACAGACAATGGCTCAACGATATCAGTCTGTCCATTCTTCAAAGCTTGCTTATTGTACACTATGACGTTTTGGAGAGTAATGAATATGCCTGTTAGAAGGCAGATCACCAGTGTCCTGGCTTGAGCTGGTGTGAAAGTAAAGATGACTGCCCTCTTCTGAGCTGGCATGAAACAGTGCCACAACCTTAATCTTATTATGGGTCCGAGACTCACGCATCACGGCACCCCCTCTGGCTTCCATGTTATTAAAAGCCATTTCATGTGGCACAAAAGCTTTTTGCTCGATTTCTTTCCTGGAATGGTGACTTACTGACTTGGAGGAGATGTGTCCAGTGCTGGAGCTATAATGCACACATGCTTGACATTTGCGCAGCCAGATCACACATAATATCATGTTGTCATTTGTCAGCTTTTGCTTGGGGCAGATGGTGTCCATTTAGAAATTATTCAGGAATCTTTTGTCTGATACATGCCATTGCAGCATCCTGTGTCGGTCACCAGATGTAGGGTTTCTGGTTGAAGTTTAAAAACTACTGTAGCTCACCTCCCATGTCATTCAGGCCCCGTTTCATGAAACTCATTTATTATCCTAAAATATGGTATCGTATCCTTACAAGTGCTTCATAAAATATACTTAACTTTACAATAATGTTAAGGTGAAAGTTTTAAGACCATAAGATTACAATAGTGCCATTGAGGAGGGCTCAGAGGAGTGTTTGAAATCAAGAATGACAGTTAAGGCTTTCTGGTTTTCACCCTAAAGTTACAAATGTTAACTTCATAGATTGAAATACTACAGTAAAACCTCAAGGACCCCCATGTCAAACACAGCTGAGATAGTGTTTTGTACTATTGTTCTCTGTTGTCATCTCAACAGGGTCGTGCCATTCTCCATGATCCTTCACATGGTGTGGCTGGAATAATATTAAGAGCAGCATAGAACTTGGCTAACACCTGCAACAGTGTTGTAAATGAGGCTTTAATCTCCACATTTTTGGTTGGCTTTGAAATGGCCTTGAGGTTAGGTGTTTTCTCATCACACTGAAGACCTAGGTTCAGTTCCCTTTATGGATAAAGTGTGAATCTCTCACAAGGAGAAATATTCCAGCTATATCGTGGCTCATTCTTGCTGCCACCACTGTGATATTGCTGAAGGCAGTATATGACTAGTATGACTAGAGTCTCACATGGCATCTCTGAGGGTATTTATTTGACAATATGAGCTCTTGCTGTTGCTGCGTTGGACCAGTTTTAACTTACATAACCCTGTTTTGATATGTTCTTGCAGATATTAGCATTATGAAAATGATTATATGCCTCATAGCAGGAGGGGAAGGATAATGCTGTTGACAGTGCTACAGAGGTCATGGCTGCAGGTGAACCCAAACTCATTATCTGACATTAGTAGGACCTAAAATAGTTTCTGATTCAAATTTGGGTCATATGACTTCCAGCTGTAGACGAAATGACCGAATTGACCGATAAGTGCCTCACAATATGAAACTTGGTCCGTGACTTCATAGCTCAGTTTGCAACAATATTAAAAGATATATTTGTTTTTGGTTTGTGTTTCATGATCTGTAGGTTTTTGCATCAGTAAAAAAATAATCAAACTTGCAATACCATTGGGACTGTCAGGGATTGTATTCGATGGTAGGACAATTTTTTTCTAAAATGATTTCCAGCAACCCAAACAGAATTAAAAGATGGAAATTAATAATGTGAAATGTGGCCCTCCTGGTTTCTTCCCCCTGCAGTGTTTTATTGTACGATAAACGACCACAAGCTGTTTATTTCTTTAAGAAGATATCAACGCTATGGACAGCCTATTCAAGAATGTTGATAAAATATACAAGCTTTAAAAATATTTACCAAATTTTTATTATGATGACTCCCTGAATAGAATCTTACCTCAGAAATGTCGGACAAGTCCATTTTACAAACGGGTGGGTTAAGTTTGGTAGTTCCCACATGTTCTCACAATCCTCACGTCGATTACCTGTACCTTTTCTCACTATTCTGATACCCCAGCTACACCAATGGGGAGCAACTTAAGGGACACTTCCATCTAAAAAATAACGTCCCCCAAAATATGACATCAGGTTTCGATCACATATTCGAATCACAAGAAATGACGTCATGATACTACAATGTTTTTCGTGAAATAAGCCATGCTTCATTCTTCATTGTTCTTGCAATTTATCGTGTAGCTATCTAATATATTGAAATAATAGAGATATTCCTGTGATAGATATTAAATGATGATTGATCGGTTGATGCAATAATTAATTTAAGTATCCAAGGCTGATGGATGAAGTAAATGCTGTTTGATGACAAATGTTCATTGTAATTGGTCAACCATTCCTGATACTAGTGTATATTACCATTTATGTGAAACAGATTACAATAATAGAAATGGGAATAGGATTTGTGAAATTACTTCTTTTCGAAATGATAGAATTGACTCATTGTCACGTAATCTAGTATAATCAGTGAATAATTATTTTTAACATAATGATTGTAACATAATGTATCCTAATGACTCAAGAGGTGGGGCGGTCGGGTAGCCTAGTGGTTAAAGTGTTCGCTCGTCATGCCAAAGACCTGGGTTCGATTCCTTACATGGTTACAATGTGTGAAGCTCATTTCTGGTGTCCCCCGCCGTGATATTGCTGGGATATTGTTAAAAATGGCGTAAAACCAAACTCACTCACTTACTCAGAAGGAGGTGAAGGGACACAGGTGGGTCTCTGGTCCAAGTTGTGTTGGTCGCGCAGTTTGAGTCTCAGATTCTCCCTGATTATGATATTGTGGTGAATAAGTAAAGTGATCACTTTGGGCTTTTCTTTTAAATATAAAGATGTTTTAAAGACTGAAATGCTAGTTTAAGTTACCTAAAACCAGAACAGGTCTAATGTGGAAACCCTGATGGTTCTTCACTTTGTCTGATGGAGTAGTGGGGGGGCTATGGATATAGTGTTGGCTTGTTCTGCCAAAGGCATGAGTTCTATTCATCACAAGGGTACAATATGTGAAGCGGTGCAAAGCTCTACCCACTCACTGATGGATTGCCCCTATGGGGAATGCTGGTTAAATTGATTTCCAGCAGCCTTTCATGTTGTAAGCGGCTACTTAATGGATTGGAAGGGCAGTCACTGTGACTTGTCGCATGTTGTACCCCAATGGTGCGGATTGTTGCTCGTAATATGAGTCATTGGTGTGTTTGGTCCAGACTTGATTATTTACAGGTGTTGTATTTGGAAGCCTGCTTCTTGTTAAGACCACTGCTTGTGTTTCAGCCATGCACCGCACGTTCCAGCGTGACCTGTACCTGCTACGTCTGAACACAGCCCGACAGTACCTGAAGGCCCTGGAGACCAGCATGAACCCCATCTCCTCTGACCCCGCTGAACCCGTCAAACTCTCAGCACAGGTAAGTTGGCCTTCAGGTGTTTCTCCCTAGACCTGGATAGGACCTCAGAACTCTATTGCAGCATTAGAAGATGGCACTAGTCCTGTTGTCCTTGTCAAACTGCGCAATAGTTTACTCTTTCAACACCGAAGGCCGGTCTACCGGCCAAGAAGCATCGAGTCCCCAGACACTGTAGCCATGGTCACGTCAAAATAGTATATAATTTTATAAACCTACCTGTCATATCACTCATTTATTAAATCTATCACATTTCACAATGTCTGAAATACGTATAATACATATTTATTGATAGATTAAAAAATTATTCACTATTTCCCGCAATGTTATTAAAAATAAAAACGGGTCCACATCGAACATGTCAAACAGCAAAATAAAGACGTTTCAATCAAATCTTTAAACATTCTATACAAAACCAATAAAAATATATCTAAAAGTTGTCAAACTTACAGCTAGTTTATTATTTCCATCTTTTCGTGTAATGTAAATCAAATGACATCTCAGGTACCATAGCTGTAATTTGATTGGCTGCCTTAGGTCACGTGCTCAAATTTGACCAATCACGAACCTTGTAGCAGATATTGGCAAGAAAGCATCATTAGAAACCAATTTTTATCCAATGAAATCACTTGTTATAACAACTAAAAGACTTCAGGTGATGTTATGAGCATGTAGATGAAAGATAAAGCTTTCTAGCGATGTGTCATATTCCAGTCTTTGACGAACGTGTTATTCATTAAAAGTCTCGAAAACGGGGGTATTTCTTCATGTTACTGAGCAGACAGCCGCTGTTATCGGGATATGGCTGTTGACAGATACTATTTATAATTCTTTTTAAAATGCTTTTCCAATAAAGTAAACAATGAGAATAAAAAAGAAATAGGTAAGTGGGTTTTATGAAATCTTATATTTGCCGAAAATCGTCAAATTTTCGCTTCCTTGGTCCTTTACCTGGACGTTCTCAATGTGTTAGCTTACATTTTATATTTACAACAAACTTAATTAAGTTGTAAATGGATTATTTAAACAATGTGATAACCATAACTTTCATATTTATCATTTATAAACAATAGGATCAGACCTTTCAAATGGTGTATAACATATACTAGCAAAGACGTTTTACAAGCAGATATCTTTTTTGATAAATGTTGGCTTCATCTATCACACAAGAGTCTCTGGGAACCTCGAAGTCACAGCAGTAAACGCTTCTGGTTGACTGGTGTTGAAAGAGTTAAGGTATCATAAGGACTAGTAGAAATTTGCCATTTTCAAGGGTCTTGCTATATGTTATCATTATAAGGACTAGTGGACTAAAAATGTTAGTTTCTACCACTGTATTGATTTTCGGAACAGGTGAGTAAATTGGATCAGGTGGTCAAACTTGGTACCGTGTTATACCCTCATGATGTGGGATGTTGCTCATGTTATCATCCACTGGTTTAATTATTATCTGGCTGACACAATTTGTGGTGTGAATGTTGCTGACTGTAATATATTAACATGCACTCACTCACACCACCTTTGGGTCAATTCTTTTGGTGACATGTGACACCAAGCTCCCAAGGTATGACACTATGAACAGGTGTTTTATTTTACACCTCTGCCTGCATGGACATGTTGTGCCTTTCTGATTCTATAGCTGAACCATCCCCATAATAGAGGAGCTGTCTTGCATTACCAGAACAAATCACTACCGTATTCGATGTAATAAGCGCCCACGGCGATATTTGCTAATGGGTAGTGAACAATCCCAATTAGCACCCCTTCCGATCGATCAACGTACACAAGACTTATTTATTCATGTATAATACGCACTCGTGTGTTATATGCACCCTTAATTATGGGCAATTAAATTCTGAAAAAAATATCTGTTGTATATAAACATTTCAGGCTGTCAGCATAAACCACAAAATTTACGATCTTTCAACTCAGTTTTTTTCACCAAAATAATATTCTAATTAGAGCCCCCTATTTCTAATTTTAAGAGCGCTTTGGGTTGCTTATTACCTCAAATACGGTAACTACAATGTGGAGTATGATGCCTTATGCTTGCTTAGACTGATTGTATGGACTGATGTTTTATCATATAGTGGTTTAAAAGAAGGGTAGGTCACCATTAAGGGATGGAGTGATAGGCTGGTGTACTGCGTGTCATTGTACCCCGCTTTTTTATTGCTTCTGTTATTTCCTGGTTAGAATATGTACCTAGCAGCCTATGTTCATCATATGGAATGGATGGTCAGTTGGACTTGGTTGGTTGATTGTGTGTCACAATAACTCAAATAGATTGATGCTCATCATATCTATCAATGATTTCTCTGGTCCAGACACAATTATTTCCATATTGCTGAAAGCAGCTTCAGTAACAAACAAATACAATCTCATGCTGTCAACCACAGGCTAGTGTGGCCTAGACTCAGTTATTTCCAGGCCTGTGATTTAGCTGGAATTTGGCCTTTAAACAACCTTCACTCCCTCCACTCCCTTCACTGAATCTCTTTACGGTTGAAATATACTACAGTATGTCTCTCTTGTGAAAGAACCTGTGGAAAACAATTTCACATTAAATGCACTGACCTTTCATCATCCAAATATAACAAAATCTTTACGACCTATACATTCCCTTGACAGAAAAAGTAAAAAATAAACCACACAACCTTACAGTAATGAAGTCATTCGGATGAACAAATTTGACTTTTTACATTTCTAAAGATGGCGTGTATGAAACCCATCAGCTTCAAAATTACAAATCTACAAGTCCGGAAAATGCTGAAATATGACTCCCTACGCTACAGATGTGACAGAGGTAAATAAAATCATTAAGTGATTGGCAGGTTTCAAGGGACATTGAAATGGCACTGTGCTTCCAAATTACTACTTTGATGTAATCATGCAGTAGAAGAAGTTGATTTGCCCAATTAGGTCCAATGTAGCAGCACATACATCAAATGTCAGCAGACGACACCTACAGCCAGTGAGGTCAGTCTGGGGCCGACTTGCATTACACCCAGTTTCTTTAGACCAACTCGACTGTCCAGCACAGCGGGTGAGCTACAGGTCCTCGCACCAGACTTCTAATTGAGGGAATAATGAGCACTGTGGTCTCTGCACTTGCTCTATTAAAGAGACCATTTAGATGTTAAAAGTCACCCTAAAGGGCTGTCCGTGTGATCACCCACGGACCAGCCTGGCAGATACCTGATCGTGTTCTGTGTCGATGTTTGCCATTTCTGGGGCAGTCTACGAATTGGTCCCTTCTTTGATGCCAGCCTAGCATTCTCCTTAGCCATACTGGTGTTGAGAACAGCAATTTAATAAAAGACTGGTCGGGTAATGGATCAGACAGGATATAGGTGTAGCACACTTCTGTGATAAACTCATGTCTGTTGGCCAGAGTAATTGAGAGGACTTTGTCTCCAGACTGTAGTCAGAGAGGTGCCGTATGTAGGTGTGTGCGTCGGTGTTGTCAACGGCGCTGGAGAGGTGGCCCTCTCTGTCACACTTGTGGTAGACAGTGAATTGGTGGTGTCGTCACTTGCCTTTGTGAGGCATTAGATGTCGGGGAGGTGGTGTGATGAAACACATAGATTGAGCCCTGTCTTCTCATGTGACCTCAGTAATATACAGAACAAAAATAGTCAGGGATCTTGAATATTTGGGGGGATATATTTGTAGTGAAGACAGCACACAATTTCATAAAAATATCACCAAACATATTCATGATCCTTAACTTTCTTTGTTCAGTATATATTATTTAGTGTGTGATGGAATTGTATTGCTTTCAACAAACAAAGTATTATTTCTTACTTTTTAAAAATTGTTTAGGAGCAAGAAATGTTTCGGCATGGCAGTTGCCATGTGGTTTATGGACCGGATGTTGATATTGTCCATAAGTCCATTCAAAATATAACTTCATAACTTCAGCTTTGTTTGGCAGGGGTGGAAACTGGACTTTTAAAGTCAGTTAACTCCCTTGCCCCGGGAAGATGGGTAATGTTATGATAACATTGTGTAGTACATGATGTACCCATGAAGATACGGGGTAGAATAGGTCTACAGCAACCCATGCTTATTGTAAATGGCGACTATGGTTGTCATAAGAGGCGACTAACGGGATCAGGTGGTCATACTTGCTGACTTGGCTGATGCATGTCATTGTATCCCAATTGTGTGGACCTCTGTTCATGATGTCAATCACTTGATTGTCTTGTCCAGACTCAATTATTTACAGACCGCTGTCATATACCAGTAGCTGGAATATTGTTGAGTGCGGCGATAAACAACAAACAAACAAACAAACAAACAAACAAAACAATTTCCAATGTCCGTTGTTGTTGCATTAATCATGAAGCTATCAAGCCCACCAAGGTGATCTTTTCCCCATCTTACCACTCACTTCCTTACTTCAATGACTTGATACTTGATACTGTAATATGACTGTAATATGACGAAGGTTGAAGCATCATCCTGTCTTTTAAGTAAATTGTGGATGCTACAAAGTCTGTTGCAATTATTGTCTTTGTCATGTGAAGATCACTAAACAGATGAAATCAAACTTGTGGCATTGATTAGGTGGATTGGTGCCCTGCTCTGAGGAATGGGTTATAGGATGGTAATTCTCCCAAGGCAGTTGACTTGGTTAAAACAAAATTCCAGCAACCAGTGGTTACCCAGTAGGTCTATGATAAAGCAACAAGGTTTTAGTGCCCATCTGGTAGTCTGGGTTGTATACTTTCAAGGGAAAATTATGCCGTGATATAACTGGAATACCGTTGAAAGCGACGTTAAAACCAACTCACTCACTCACTCACTCACTCACTCACTCACTCAAGGGAATTTAAAATGTAATTTGAGTGAGTGAGTATGGTTTTCCACTGCTTTCAGCAATATTCACCAGAAATGGTGATTGATCCCGGCGGTTCTTCAGCGTGAAGAGCTGCAATTTAAACACTAGGCTAAATTCATTGACTGGGATAATGATGTATGGTGCTTCGAGCATAACCATTTGGACTCTTACTAAGTGGCCTGTGATAGATGTTATTACTTTGACACACGCCTACTGGCAATATGCTGTGGGGATACTTGGCTAGAATAGGTCCCCAGCAACCCATGCTTGTTGTACAAGGCCACTAAGTGGATTGAGTGGTCAGGCTTAGCGACCTCGTTGACTGCTTGTCATTGTAACCCAAATGCCTGAGATGTTGTTCATTGTATCATATCACTGGTTTGTTTGCTCCAAACTTGTTTTTTGTACAGACTGGTGTCTTTTTGCTGAGTTCGGCAATAAACAACAAACAAACAATACAGATAGCATGAACTAACCTTAAAGAAATCAAAAAAATAATGACCGTTAGATTTAAGAGAGGGTAGACATACCTTGTTGTTATAAAATATTTAGCATTATTTGGAAAGTATAATCGAAATATGAGTGATGTTAACAAATTATTTAAAGTTTGCTAACTATTTTAAGAAGGTAAAACAAAAATACAAATTACAAGAAGGTACAACCATATTTGGATCTATGACCATATCACTTCCTTACAGAACACAGCCAATCATTAACTAGACTGAACAATCATGAATATTTTTGGGAAGTGAAGACTGTGCACACAATTTCTTCAAAAATATACCCCAAAATATTCATAATCCCTAACTTTTGGGTTCAGCATATATATAGCTGTACTACATAATCACTGTGGACATTGTAATGGAACGATGTCCCTACAGCTAATTGTCTTCCTTGTGGCATCTTTGACGATTATATTACACAAAGGTCATTTTTTGTTGATATTAGCTGAAGCAGGACTTCAGCTCACGTGCTTAGCCTCTATGGAGCTGTTGGCACAGAGCAATACTCTTAAAGATTCCTCACTTGTGCTGGGCAGCATCACGTCTTGGTGTCCATGCATGATATTGCACTAAACTAAACATCTTGATCATCCAACCAAATTCTGGGCTTGTCCTGTTGATAGGAGGGGGGTGGGGGTGGGGGGAGGGGGAGGGGGAGGGGGAGGGGATTTATTTAAGGAAAATATTCTTCTGATCAGGATATGTGAGAATGTTGACAAAGGGCCTGTTTATTGTTTGACCATGTTGACACTTCAGCCTTACATAATTATCATTAACAGATCGAAAGCCAGAAAGATCATCAGCAACCAGCTGTTTAACTCTTGTTGGAAAGCTCAAGAACTCAAAACATCTCATTATATATAGAATTTGCTATTGTCATTCAGTTTTTAAACTTTGAAATGACAATGAAATACTCAAAACCATATCATTTACTACAGCTTTCTGTTTTTAACTCACCTGACTGAAATTCAAGTAGGCTTGTGCCATGGCCTGCTTGTCTGGCATGTGTTGTCATTACTCAGCCATTTTTATTCAAAATGTAATGACATTTGGTATATGTTTACTCAGTAGCAATATTTTACAATTTTATTGACCTTATTTTGACTTCAATGTTTTGACCATACTCTTAAATTCTCCCAACCCTATATTTTGCTCTGTAAACCTCTTCTTTGAAATTGCCAATTTGACATGTTGACTACAGTAACTGTTGATACAGTTCCATGGTTATTTATATGTTGAAGTAAAGAACAATACGAGCCAATTACAAAAGGGTACCGCTCTTGTACATGAAATATTATTGCTTTCGCTTTCACCATTCAAACCAGGAGTTGATTGTCAGTAAGACCATGGACTGACTGCATTTTTATTATCCCCCGCCACGAAGTGGAAGGGGGATATAGGAATGGGTGCCGTCCGTTCCTCCTTCCGTCCTTCCGTCCGGCCGTCCTTCCGTCCGTCCGTCACACTTCGTTTCCGGAGCAGATCTTGAAAACCGTACCATATTTCTTCACCAAACTTGGCACATAGATAGGTCTAGTGGTGGACTGGTGCCTTTTGATAGTTTGGGATTTTTAAAAAAGTTATTTTTCGAGTGTCCATGGCAACGACTTTGATTTAGACTGAAAATGGCGGTAGTCCTCGTTTCCGGAGCAGATCTTGAAAACCGTACCATATTTCTTCACCAAACTTGGCACATAGATAGATCTAGTGGTGAACTGGTGCCTTTTGATAGTTTGGGATTTAAAAAAAAAATTTTTTTTCGAGTTCCCATGGCAACGACTTTGATTTAGACTGAAAATGGCAGTTGTCCTCATTTCCGGAGCAGATCTTGAAAACCGACCATTTTTCTTTACCATATTTTGCACATTGATTGGTCTAGTGGTGAACTGGTGCCTTTGGATAGTTTTTTTTTTTTTAAGAGTTATTTTTCGAGTTTCCATGGCAATGACTTTGATTTAGACTGAAAATGGAGGTAGTCCTCGTTTCCGGAGCAGATCTTGAAAAACGTAGTATATTTCTTTACAAAAAGGCCCCGTGAACATAGTTCACAGGAGCTAATGCATTGCACACACCCGACATGTCATATTGGCGTGGGATGTAAGTATTTCATGCTTGTTCATTTTGAAATGTTTTCTTCTCAGGTGCAAGGCATCGGTCCTACTTTCAAGATGACAGTCAACCTGCAGAATACATCCCTCAGCCAAGCCTCCTCCCACCTCTTCATCACTTTTGACTATGATGATAAACTTTACAGCTTCAGGAAGACACACATCAAGGTGGGATATCTGTGTAACGACATCCTTTCCATCTGAAAGACCAAATTAGCAGCCAGTTCACGGTGCAGTACTTTCTTGTACGACAGCCTTGGACTTGATTTCACTTGATTTGTTTGATGTGATTAAAAAGATCAGACTGACTTTATGCATCTGGCAAGTAATATGGTTAAAGTGCACAACAGAATAACATAGGATGTTGTTGAAGTGTATTTGACACCTACATGTGAGCAAGTCTCCATGCTGGGCCATCATGCATATCCCTTGAGCTACACCACATGGGTTCTTGTAGTCAGAGGGTGAATGTGGTTTAACACCACAGTCAGTAATATAACAGGCATAACATGGTGATTAATGTTATGAGCAATGTCCCACACTTGTCCGATGACATGCAGTCACCCGTGAAGATCGGGGTTAGAATCGATGCTCATGCTATCAATCACTGGATTGTCTGGTCCAGACTTTATTAATTACAGACCCCGTCATAAAGCAGGAATATTGCTAAGTACGGCTTTAAACAACAAACAAACAAACCAGACATGCATTCAACCAGGACATTGAGTCTGACCACCAAATCCAATTTATTTGCCTCTTCTGAAAAGATAGTGCCTGGGACCCATTCTAACCCTGGCCTGTGCAGGACTGTGTTCTTGTAGTGTTAGGACAGTAGGGTCCCTGCAAGACTGTGTTCTTGTAGTGTTAAGATAGTAAGGACCCTGCAGGACTGGGTTCTTGTAGTGTTAAGACATTAAGGTCCCTGCAAAACTGGGTTCTTGTAGTGTTAGGACAGTAAGGACCCTGCAGGACTGGGTTCTTGTAGTGTTAAGACAGTAAGGACCCTGCAAGACTGGGTTCCTGTAGTGTTAAGACAGTAAGGACCCTGCAGGACTTGGTTCTTGTAGTGTTAGGACAGTAGAGTCCCCGCAGGACTGGGTTCTTGTAGTGTTACGACATTAAGGTCCCCGCAGGACTGGGTTCTTGTAGTGTTAAGACATTAAGGTTCCCACAGGACTGGGTTCTTGTAGTGTTAGGACAGTAGGGTCCCCGCAGGACTGGGTTCTTGTAGTGTTAGGACAGTAGGGTCCCCGCAGGACTGGGTTCCTGTAGTGTTAGGACAGTAGGGTCCCCGCAGGACTGGGTTCTTGTAGTGTTACGACATTAAGGTCCCCGCAGGACTGGGTTCTTGTAGTGTTAAGACATTAAGGTCCCCGCAGGACTGGGTTCTTGTAGTGTTACGACATTAAGGTCCCCGCAGGACTGGGTTCTTGTAGTGTTACGACATTAAGGTCCCCGCAGGACTGGGTTCTTGTAGTGTTACAACATTAAGGTCCCCGCAGGACTGGGTTCTTGTAGTGTTAGGACAGTAAGGACCCTGCAGGACTGGGTTCTTGTAGTGTTAAGACAGTAAGGACCCTGCAAGACTGGGTTCCTGTAGTGTTAAGACAGTAAGGACCCTGCAGGACTGGGTTCTTGTAGTGTTAGGACAGTAGGGTCCCCACAGGACTGGGTTCTTGTAGTGTTACGACATTAAGGTCCCCGCAGGACTGGGTTCTTGTAGTGTTAAGACATTAAGGTTCCCACAGGACTGGGTTCTTGTAGTGTTAGGACAGTAGGGTCCCCGCAGGACTGGGTTCTTGTAGTGTTAGGACAGTAGGGTCCCCGCAGGACTGGGTTCCTGTAGTGTTAGGACAGTAGGGTCCCCGCAGGACTGGGTTCTTGTAGTGTTACGACATTAAGGTCCCCGCAGGACTGGGTTCTTGTAGTGTTAAGACATTAAGGTCCCCGCAGGACTGGGTTCTTGTAGTGTTACGACATTAAGGTCCCCGCAGGACTGGGTTCTTGTAGTGTTACGACATTAAGGTCCCCGCAGGACTGGGTTCTTGTAGTGTTACGACATTAAGGTCCCCGCAGGACTGGGTTCTTGTAGTGTTACGACATTAAGGTCCCCGCAGGACTGGGTTCTTGTAGTGTTAGGACAGTAAGGACCCTGCAGGACTGGGTTCTTGTAGTGTTAAGACAGTAAGGACCCTGCAAGACTGGGTTCCTGTAGTGTTAAGACAGTAAGGACCCTGCAGGACTGGGTTCTTGTAGTGTTAGGACAGTAGGGTCCCCACAGGACTGGGTTCTTGTAGTGTTACGGCATTAAGGTCCCCGCAGGACTGGGTTCTTGTAGTGTTAAGACATTAAGGTTCCCACAGGACTGGGTTCTTGTAGTGTTAGGACAGTAGGGTCCCTGCAGGACTGGGTTCTTGTAGTGTTAAGACATTAAGGTCCCTGCAAGACTGGGTTCTTGTAGTGTTAGGACAGTAGGGTCCCCACAGGACTGGGTTCCAGTAGTGTTAGGACAGTAGGGTCCCTGCAGGACTGGGTTCTTGTAGTGTTAGGACAGTAGGGTCCCCACAGGACTGGGTTCTTGTAGTGTTAGGACAGTAGGGTCCCTGCAGGACTAGGTTCTTGTAGTGTTAGGACAGTAGGGTCCCTGCAGGACTGGGTTCTTGTAGTGTTAGGACAGTAGGGTCCCCACAGGACTGGGTTCTTGTAGTGTTAGGACAGTAGGGTCCCTGCAGGACTGGGTTCTTGTAGTGTTAGGACAGTAGGGTCCCTGCAGGACTGGGTTCTTGTAGTGTTAGGACAGTAGAGTCCCCACAGGACTGGGTTCTTGTAGTGTTAGGACAGTAGAGTCCCCACAGGACTGGGTTCTTGTAGTGTTAGAGCCAATGAATGATCTGGTAAAATGGTCACCCTTGGTGTGGTGAGATGGAGGTGGGCTGACAACCAATAGGTGTCATAATTATTTTCAGTACGTAAGGGCATCAACGACCTCTCTCCATGACTGTTCCCTGATTTGATACAAAATTTGATTGATTCTAAATGTCCTTTGATCAAGCTTTGTAAACAATGTATTTCTGTTCACAACATATTTGTAAGATGCTTGATATAAGCTAGAAATGTCTTAGCTTCATTCACTTCAATGCTTGCTTGTCTGAGCCCATTCCTTCCACACATTGTGTTACATTTGCTCTTTTGATCATTCATCTTTATACAAGTTTGCAGAATAATCTCATTAACTGACAGTGCCCTAAGCCAGTTGTGAACTTTGTGACATTTTATAAAAAATCTTTTTCTCTGTCATCTATTTGTTGCTAATCACACATGGTGTGTCACCCTGTATAGGACTGTCACATTGATGACATCCTCCATTGGACCATCACGTCACCAGCTGTCATCCTGCGTTCAACCTTTTGTACTTTGACATAACTGAAATATTGTTCAAAGTGGCTTTTATGCCAACTCAATCAGCCTTGTGTCTCAACATCATCCACCTGCGTAGAACCATCACTGTGCTGAACACTTCTGCTTCAGATGTCCTTGGCTGATTTAAGTTCCACCTCGAGTGCTGCTATGCACAAACACCTTTACATTATTGTGTCACAATGGCCAGTAATGGTGCCAGCATGTCCACATCAGCACTGCTTTTTAAACCCACAGAAGAACATCAAAGCAATCATGATTATGGCAATATAAATGCTAAATGGCATTTGTATGATTTAAGATGGGAAGAAAGCACATTCTCTTTGTAGTGTGCCAATTACCATTATCAAATAGAGCAATTAAGTGTAAAAGTCATTTCGTCCTCTCAGGTAAAATCTTGTGTGAGATTTCATTCGATTAGGCACATTTGTATGTTTGAAAAACAACACCTAGAGGAATACATGCTTGAAGATTAAAGGATCAGCTTGTGAAGAAAACAATTGCCTTGGGGATACTATTGCATTAAGGAATTGTAATTGTTTTCAGGTTCTAGAATGTACCTATCCCTATTTTTAAAGCTACTAGCCCATGCTTGACTCCTGGTGAATTGTCCAGTTCAGGATAATTCTACAGCTAGTGCCCAATGCTTGACACCTGGTGAATTGTCCAGTTCAGGATAATTCTACAGCTAGTGCCCAATGCTTGACTCCTGGTGCATTGTCCAGTTCAGGATAGTTCTACAGCTAGTGCCCAATGCTTGACTCCTGGTGAATTGTCCAGTTCAGGATAGTTCTACAGCTAGTGCCCAATGCTTGACTCCTGGTAAATTGTCCAGTTCAGGATAGTTCAACAGCTAGTGCCCAATGCTTGACTCCTGGTGAAGTGTCCAGTTCAGGATAGTTCTACAGCTAGTGCCCAATGCTTGACTCCTGGTGAATTGTCCAGTTCAGGATAGTTCAACAGCTAGTGCCCAATGCTTGACTCCTGGTGAATTGTCCAGTTCAGGATAGTTCAACAGCTAGTGCCCAGTGCTTGACTCCTGGTGAATGTCCAGTTCAGGATAGTTCTACAGCTAGTGCCCAATGCTTGACTCCTGGTGAATTGTCCAGTTCAGGATAGTTCTACAGCTAGTGCCCAATGCTTGACTCCTGGTGAATTGTCCAGTTCAGGATAGTTCTACAGCTAGGTCCCAATGCTTGACACCTGGTGAATTGTCCAGTTCAGGATAGTTCTACGGCTAGTGCCCAATGCTTGACTCCTGGTGAATTGTCCAGTTCAGGATAGTTCTACAGCTAGGTCCCAATGCTTGACTTATTGGGAATTGTCCAGTGCAGAATAAGTTGACAGGTAGTAACAAATGGTTGATTGCAAATAGGTTTTCATATCAAACTGAATGAGAATCCCAAAAAGGGAGGGGAGACATATTGTTTTTTTGGCACGCTTCTCGTTGGCATTGGCTTTCCGATCCAATCTCAGTCATAACTTGAAAACCGTTTAATTATTTCTTGTGAAACTTTCCATATGCATTGCTCATCAGCCATTTGTTTATTTCAAAATTCTATTTTTTTGTGTTTACATGGAAACAATTTCAACATAGTCTCATGAGGGTAGGGTCCGTTTCTGTGGCAGGGTTTGTTTCCGTGTCATATCTTGAAAAACGTTCAACATATTTCAACAAACTTGGATATGCATTGCTCATCAGCTCCACTGGCTGTTGATATTTTGAAATTGTTCTAAATTTTATTTTCTTA